ACGCTCTATCTGTTCATGAAAAAAGAAAATTTTTGAAAGCTTTCTATAAGAAAAAAAAGTACCTGGCTCACTACTTTTGGATAACCCTAAGTACTTCATTGTCTTGAAAAGCCTGAATCAATTCACAAGCTCCTTGACATTCGATTTCACCGTTACAAAGCTTTAAGCCGATAAGTGTCTGAAAGTATTGAATAAGATGAGCACGTGAAAATTGGAACAAGAACTAGAATACTTTGTTTTTTTGAAATGCTCTAGCAAGTTGTTGTCCACCTAGAGGACCAATTTTATTACCGAAGAGATCTAGCATAGTTAGTGTCTGTATGAAGAATCGATGACAAACAGAGAGAAAAGATAATAATAAAATACGTACGGTGTTATTGAATATGGCATCAGCGAGATATTGTACACTTATATGGTTAATATCATTGAAATGAAGTTGTAATATGCTTATTGTCTTTGTAGAGATAAAATGATACAGTTGCAACTACAATTCAGAAGTTCTTTCTATACCTTATTATGGCGTATAATATCAGCTATTGATTTCACGACATTGTCATCAAGTTTAATAAAAGTTATCATCAATGTAGTAAGCGACTGTATAAAGTTGTCAATCATACTTATGAATCTTACAATATCAAGAAAGAATGTTACATACTGTATTGTCTTGACAGGCTTTAGCCAGATATTGTAATTTCGTGCTCTCAACTGTATTTCCTGTAAGATGAAGTGTACTTAGTGTCTGAATGGATACAGAAATACCAATATAATATGAATAGGTTGAGATGGTCATTCAAATTACTTTATTATTTCTCAAAGGATGACAAATATAATTTATGTCTATATCTTGAATGTCCCATTTGTGAAGCTCTAGTATGGACTGTACCTAAAACGAAATTTTAAGGATGCATCAGACAGCATAGAAGAAATATAAGAACTTATTTACTGCTAACGTTTTCTACCTCATACAAATTAGTTAAAGAACCAGCTTTTGTAAAAAATAAATGCGGAAACTTCGGTTTTAAATCCGAGAGTTATGTGTACTTCAAAAAGTGAACAGGTATATTCACTTTGTTTTTTATCATCGAAGACATATCTACCCTATTTGATTTCTCCATGCAGTTTTTATGCCTTTTTAGACCTTTTTCAGCCGATGTTTTGTTAGAAAGCTACGGTTTGGTTAAAAACTAATATCAGATCCGGAATCACCATTAAAAACTGAGTCGATTTATATATGTTGTGAATAATTCCGAGAAAAAAATCCCTGTACCCCCCCCCCCTCAGGGATGATCTGGTCAATAATGACAATTTTTTCGATAACTCAGCCATTTCTTGACGGATCCTTCTCATCTTCGAACTCAACCGAGACATTGTTAAGACTGAACTGTGTAGAAAATTTCATCGCGATTGGCCTCTCCTTTCAAAAGTTATCGTGTAAACGGCCGGCCGGCCGGACATACTGACCGATTCTAGAGTGTACTCACTTTTTGAGTACACAATATTCTAATAAGAGATGGATAAATAGGATACGATTTAACTTCTAGAAAATTTAAATCATTAGCTCATTTTAGCAAAAGTTCGTATAGATCGTATATTTGATACAAAGTCTACTATTAATGCACTCAACTCGTACATACCAACTTATTGTAAAAAAGCCTGCTAACTTTATATTAAATATCTAAAAATCAGTATAATATGCAGAAGAAACTCTATTAGTTTCAGTATTTTGAAAATGTACGTACTTAAAAATTCTTTTAGCTTAATAATACTCAGTGAATCTTTTGCTTTTGGTACACAATGATCGATCAAAACCATTCGTAGCGGTATAACCTTGTGAAGTGTTGGCTGAGTTTCATCACTTAAAGTTGTAATGATTTCATCAAATACTTGAAGAAAATTACAAATATGACTTAATAAATCTTTATCAAGTGACTCAAAATTATCATAATGTGAATCATTGAATATATCAACAAGTTCATTATAAGTTAAATTGAAGACGTTCTAAAATGCGTCATAAAGTATTATTGAACAACGAGCTACTTTTGGTTGTAGGCAACTCACCATCATATAGTAGGCCCCACTGGAACGAGTTGAACTAAATGTCTGAAGTTTCCTCGACAACTTTACTTGTCGATGACTTCGGCGAAAGTGTGCTACAAGACTCTTAATAATATCAAATGTTTCAAATACTTCAATACAACCACTCTTTGATACTATAAACGAATGTTCCAAGACTTTATTAATATAATGATCACTAGCTACAACCTACACGATTAGCACCACGTAAAGCAGCAATCATCTTAGGTTCATTATCTGTGACGATGAACGAATTCTTATTTAACGAAAGACCATACTCCAATAATAATTCATCAACAAACGTTCTGTCATTAGAAGCTGTTTGATTTTCTGTGTATACGGTTTACAACAAAGACAAAAACGATGTAGATTAAAATCTGAATCAGTTGCACGAACAATAACACTATAAAAAAGTATACCTAAATTTCGAGTAAAAAATTATAAGAACTATTAGATTACAAAAATTACCGCTATATTTTTCGGTCCACATGTCCACCACAACTGTATAAGTATCAAATGTTTTGCAACAATTAATAAGTTCCTTTTTTCTAAACTCATAAATTTTGTCTGTTTTACGACTTACCCACGATGATAAAGATGAACATTATGTGATTTTAAAGTCATAAAAGTGTACTTACTGTCGTAGGATGTGGTAAAAAATCAAATATTTCAATTGATTGACTATTCGATGATAATCTTCCTGGATTATAAATCATTTGAATAAATTGTTGGAAACCAATGCCAGATGCAATTTCAAATGGACGACTATCCAATGTGATAAAATCAAGATAAGCACTAGTTATTTGTTTTTTAAGCTTTTCTGGTAAGATCGATTTATTATTTCGATAATAGATTGTAATAGTTGATTGTGTTGCACTTGATGATGATGAATTTTTTTCACAAGATGCTAAATGCTTCTTTAAACCACAAGAACCGGTTGTACATTTATAAGTGATGATTGAGCGAAATTTATCACATAAAACAAAATTTTGAACTACATCGTTGACAAGAATTTGGTTAAACGCAGGCAACAAGGATGAACCACGATCGGCTTTTTCAATTTTTTTCAGTTGAATCGACTAGTCATTATTTTTCAGAAGTAATTCGAGTTGATCACGTGTAAGTAGTTTACAAACCATGATATGCAAGATTAAAAGAAATTTATTACACACTTGATGAAAAGAAGTTCATAGAAATGATTCTTATTCAGTTATTATGACCATGAACAGGTTATGCAGATTGTTTGTCTTTTGCAAACTAACATTGTTCTAGAAGGGTGTGGGTGTGGAGGTGGGTGTGGGTGTGGGTGTGGATGTGGGTGTGGGTGTGGAATGTGGACTGCAAAAATTAAGAACACAGACCCTTAGTCACAGACACCATGAAACCCACATCCACACCCACACCCACACACCCACACCCATACACCCATACCCACACCCACACACCCACACCCACGCACACCCACACCCACACCCACACCCACACACCCACACCCACACCCACACCCCCACACCCACGCACACCCACACCCACACCTTCTATCATCGTTGGTTATATCAAAAATTATGTACTGATCTCACATTAAGATTAAATAGATTAAAAATAGAAATAAAAATGTTAAGACGTCTGTTTCGATCATCGGTTCTCATCTTGGTACCATACACGTATCTTATATCAAGATCAAGGTTGTTATTATATTTAGTTTTGTTGATTGTTATATTAAAATTATGCACTTATGTTACATTAATGTTACGACATTTGCCTACGTATGGTGAACAACAAAAATGATCGATTGTAATCCAACTTATATGCTTCAACTCGCTCCCCCCTTTTCTTGACTGTTTGTTTGTTTTTGTGTTTTACTATACACTAATCGTGTACATATATATTTATTACATCTATTGTAAAATATCTTGTTTTTCAACCTGTTTCACGTGTCGCATCTTGCTGTTTGATCAAAAACTACTCTTTGGAATCAAACAACATATGTTAATTTTCACATTGTTCCTGATGATGTGCACCAGACAGGGCACGAAAGTTCGAATGTAAATATTTTTCTGATGAAAAATTAATACAAATAAAAATGATTTTTACAGCAGTTATCTCTTTTCTTTTCTATTATTTATTTCCTACTGCTCTTCCCTCTCAGTTAATTTGTATTTGATATTTATTAGATGTACTCGATTCAGTGATATTAGTAATAATTCTGATATACTTCCACTATGAGAAACATATTATAAAATTTTCTTTTGTTTTAAGAGTTTTCGTAAAATAAATGGTGTTGATCTTGTCAATAGTTTTCGTCGTTTGAGCAACCTTTGTTCGTTAATTGGATGAAGAAACTATTTTGTTTTCGAAAATTCGATTTGAGTAGTATCGTGGGTGTATGGGTGTGGCTCGGGTATGAGTGTAGGGTGTCCGGGTATCGATTAAGAAAAGGCTCACACTCATGTTCACACCCACACCTGCATCCACACCTACACCCGCACCCACACCCATACTCATACCCACATCCACACCCACGATAATGGTTCTTACACTAAAGTATTGATTTTTTGGCTAAAACTAGAAATGTGCAAAATTTGATTGATTGATCTAATATCCTTACATAAATCCCAATTAAAAAATATTCAAAAGAAAAAAAACCTGGCGGAGGAATAGACTATGGAAAATGAGGAACTTCCTTTATTATATAAAAAACAAGGAGAACTTATTTAAATCATATTTACCGTTTTGAAAATTGAAATAAACTTTTATCATATTTTCAAAGAAATTTAGGTCATGTTGCAAAAAAAAAAATTTTCTTATGAGCAGGACGCATATTTTCATCAATTAAACAGTTGAAATGTAGGTATGGACGTCTATCGATCTCAGAGATGAGTAGTACCTAATTAGTTTTTTAAAAATATTTTATTCGAATAGGAGGGAAAAAAATCTGCATAAACTATAACTATAGTTCCATAGTGTAGGAAAAAATATTATCAAAAATCATAGAAGTAATAATTCAATAAATATGTTTCTTTGATCTTGAAAACATTGAATACAATGAAATTGATCTTTCTGCAACATGTAGTCATTAAATTGATCAAGTTGAAAGCAATGAGTGAGGTTATCGTTTCCACTACACAAGGAAACACTTAAATCATTATTTACACTATACTGATCAGTGTTGATAAATCATCATTCATTAATTATTTAAAGTTTGAAAGTGTTCAGAAAGTTGAACAAAATGAACTAGTTATATTTATTGATAATCAATTCAGTGAATTAACTGCCAAATTAGATTTAAATAATAGACAAGCAATTAAACGAGATATAAAAATGATTGATATATTAATATTCATTCGACTTCTCATAATAACATGACTACTAAGACCTTGTAGTTAGAAAAATAAGTGAACTTAAATAAATCCTTGATCACATTTTATTAAATTTAAAACAAATTGATATTGAAATGTATCTGTAATTGAACACAAATTAATGTTGTTGAAGTAAATCCTTGTTAGCTGATTAACTAAATATCGACCATGTGTTTTGAATAACAATGCATTTAAAGATCCTTGTTTTCCTAAAAACGGAAAACATTATTGATAAACCAATACATGAAGACAATAGTCAGAAAGTACGTATTCAATTCCAATGAAAGACTTTTTCTTAATCAAATGTATCAAAAAATCAATTAATTAATAGTAATACTAACGGTACGAAACGAAAATGTTGTCATGAGAACTATTATTGAATTTACATGGATACAAAATGACGACGAAGAAATCATACTTGAGGATGCAAAACACCACAAATTTTGAAGAATTTTTGTTTTTATAAAAGTAATTTGAATTTCATAAAAACAGGTAAATGCATTTATTACGTTTCAAGTATGAGATCAATGTTTACCAAGAGAACTTGTCGGTATTACTGCATTATATTCGGTTACTAGCAATACAAGATTTGTTTTACTTTATGTAATGAAATATATTAATAAGTAGTGTTATTCTTTGTTCTATTTAAGACTTAAATAATGTTAATATTAATCTCAAAGTTCAAGAATTATATCTTTATTTGTTGAATAGTCGAGTTATGTGCAAACTTACAGAAAAATTATAAAGAAATTTAGTGTATTAGAATTCAGAATATTTTTACTCAAAATATTTTCTTTCTTTCTTTCTATGATTTAACCCGAGAGATAAGTGGTGCGTAAATCTGTAATCCTATTCAAATTTAATAAAATTACTTCATTTATAATTTTAAATTAGAGTTTTTTATTGTGTTATTGAGATATATTGAAATTTATTAAAAATAAGACAGTTTATTTGATAGAATATTCATCGATTTTAAATATATTTCTATTTAATCTTACTTTATTTCTTTTTTAACGATAAATCAATATCGAACTATGTATCACATTATTATATGGAACGCATAATTAGAGAAAAAGAACTGACAATAATCATTGGCAGTAACTGAATACATTTTAATAGAACTTTTTATAATTGTAAAAATATAACTATCCTGATAATTATAGATCCAAAATATTGCGCAATCAAACCATGTTCCAATGAAGAATCATCATTTACGCTTGAATCTCGATCCGACGTCTAGATCAAAGCAAATGAATGTGCCTTTTCTTTAAAACCTCGAATTTTATTCACATTATTTTCTGGTTCACATTTCGATGTTTTACTTGATAATTACATGATTTTAACAAAGATTTAAAATGTTGATGAATCCCATGTGAAAAAAATAAGGGGAATAATCAGATTAAAATCGATTAAAAAATGATTAAAAATCAATTATAATCATACACCTTTAATCGATTATTAATCAATTATGAATCGATTATAATCAAAAATAATCAAAAATAATCAAAAAAAACAAATTTTCATCGATTATTGCTATTATTTTCGATTATAATCGATTAAAAGTTCAAGAAAATAATTGATTATAATCGATGAAAATCTAAGGAAATTGATTAAAGATTTTGTGATTTACTGTGACGAAATAATCGATTAAAATCGATATTTTTTGTACAATTTTTAATCAATTATAATCGAAAATAATAGGAATAATCGATGAAAATTTGGTTTTTTTGATTATTTTTGATTATAATCGATTCATAGTAGATTAAAAATCGATTAAAGGTGTATCATTATAATCGATTTTAATCTGATTATTCCCCTTATTTTTTTTCACATGGGTAGATAATATACAAGAAAAATGTAAAAGGATAACAACGTTTAAACTTTACATAGATAAAAAAGCAAGATTGAACAGTGAATAAAAAAAAATGAACTTTTAATGATAAGAGTATTTTCATTGTTTTTTAATAAAATGTCTTCTTAATCCATTGTGAAAAATTTTTTCAATAGTTCTGAGAAATCAATGTTGACATCAGATATTGCAGTCACAAGAGCTCAAAAAAAATACTCCGATCTACCTCGTTATCAGCCTGAAAAAATTATCTGTACATCATAATTAGAAACAAAAAAAATTTAAAACCTCTAAATAGTTTTAATAGTTTCAACTCGGCCAAATGTTTTGTGCTTAAAAAACAGATGCTTCTCGCAATTTGTTTTTTATTCAAACATTTAATTTTGTAAATTTTGATGCTTCTCAGCAAAAATCTATTGATTCGCGAAATCAGTTTGATAGATAGAGTATATTTCAAAGTATATGTAGTGCAGCCAAAAAAAAAATGAAAAACTACAAGACTTTAATTCAGTAAGGAAGATTATTTGTTCGTACATGTCCAATCAATGAAATATAAGAAGAAGAAAGAAAGAATAAATAAGATATTGCGTTCACGTTGTAGGGGGCATTGGTATCTGATAGCGTTATTCTATTTTTTTGATTTTACCTGAATTTATTTTTAAATCTATTGTTTTAGGTAAAATAATTTTTTTTTACAGTGCAGTTTCACTTATGCTATTTGTAAATACTGTACGCTGTAAATTGATTGGTTGTGTGGTTTACATTTCGTCATAACAAAAGACTAAGAAAAAAAAATACATTTGTTTTTTCATTTCTTTTGCAAATTATTATCTTTACCTAGTTTCTCAGAAAATGTCTTTTTCTGGAAAAATGGATCTCGTGCTTCATCGTATTGATAATGAATTACCTGATATACATCAAGATATTAAACGTATCTTAGGTGAAATTTATAAAAGTCAAATAATGTTTTTTAATGAAATGCAGCAACATGATAAATGTGAACAATTAAATGATTTATTTGATCGATTAATTAAAAAGTTAAATGATGAATTTTATACAAAAAAGATGCATGATTTTCAAATCGAAATTATATGTGATCAAATCAAAAACGATCTTGAAAGATGGAAAACAAAATGGATAAATCCTGTCTTGAATATTCAACAATCTAATCAAGCATTCAGTGAGCTTATTCAACATGTAGAAGCTGGATTTCGTATCATGTCAACAATCTTTAAATATGTTTCAGTAATGATTATTTGAGTTTTAAAATCAATATCTTTTTTTTTCAAATTTTACTTAGATAAAAACAGCTACAGTATCTGATAAAATCGTCAAAGTCGAAGCTGTAAATGTTCAATTACAAACTCAGGTTCAACAAATACAAGGACAAATGAAAGATTTGCAATCGAACGAAGCGAAACGGGTTAAAAAAGAAAAAAAACTTGAAAAACAAATATTGGTACGGGATTTATTTATTATTGGTCGTCAACGACTCCTCAATGAATTTGATAAGCGTAAATGATCAAGAAAAAAATTTGATAAACTTTATGATGAGAATATGAATATTCAAGATTTTTTTAATCAACATCCACCTGTATATCAAGCTCTAAATGATGTAGCTAATGAATTTGGTATAGACAGTACCCAATTTCTTATGTTACTTCGAGAAAAACAACAAGGAAACCATTCATTTCATCTCGATAAACCAATCAAACGTTATGCACAATCAAAAAAAACCACACGAAACTATGATCTGAACGAATTTCTTCAAGAACAATGCATGCATGAAATGGATGCTGACAACTTTTCGGTTTTACAACCGATGTTTTTGCAAGTCTGTAGAATAATAAATCACGAAGATCTACAGCAATCAAATTCAAATAATACATGAAGTGTGGTGAAAAAAAGAATTTTAGTTTTTTTTATTAAAGAAAATAAAAGAGAATTTAAAAAAGTTTTTTTTTCATGAAACGTTTAAGAAATACCTTTCTTTTAGATTTATAATATGTAAGCAATTTTTGCTAATCTTAATTATTGAATAAGACTTCTACAAGCTGCTCATGCGCTTTATTAAAAATCTTTCAAGTAGAAATATAAGTATTTAAATGGAATAAATACCATGCCGTTTTTCATTCATTTTCACATAGCAGAAGTAAACAAAACAAGGATGATCCGACTTATCTAAATTATTTATAATAAAAAAAATCAGTTTCGTTAAATGAATTCTTATTTTGATCTATTGTAGAGGATATTTTTGCTTTTAAACAAACATTATCTACTGCTATATTTGCTAACAAATAGGAGGTGCTAATGGTATAGGTGATATGTTTTTTTTTACTATCCCAGAAGATGGTATATAACAATGAAATTTAGTTTTTGATCAACTTATTGGTACAGCTGTTTTTATGATTTTTATTATGGCTTTAAGAAATGTAAAATAAATTATATGTATATATAGAAATTTAATGTATTTATTTTATTGAATTTCTATAGGATTTTAATCATATGATATCTGAAGTAGCTAAACCATTTGTATTTACTCTTATTATCTTTGCTATAACTTCAGCATTTGCACGTAATTCAGATGTAGCAATTAATCCTTTATGTATAGAATATAATATTTAACAGGAAAAAAATACATAAAAAAATATATTTATTTTTAATTTTTTTTAAGCTCGTGATTTTGGTCCTCGTTTATTTGCTGCTTTTATCTATGGTTGGAAAGAAGTCTTTCAATCTAATAACAATTGTTTTTGAATTCCAATAATGGGTCCAATTGTTGGAGCAATTATACGTGTTTATTTATTTCAAGGTTATTTATTATTAATGAAACTTTTTGCAAATTTATCCAATATTGTAAATATTGGTTCTATTGAACTACATCCTAAAGTAAAATCAATCGATGGTGCCGATCAAATGATGCTTACACATAAACTTACAACAACTCAAAGTTAAATGTAATAAAAGAGTTTAAAATTTTTTTTTCTCTTACGTTGTTTAGCTATTAATATTTTAAAATAGTTTAAGAAATAGATATTTTCTTTGCTAATCGCATTTTTGTGATTTTGTGCATGTTTAAAAAAAGAATGGAACATAATGTCGAATCTTTTTCATTTATTCAGGCAATTTATTTTAAACTTCTTTTTTCTCTATTTTATATGCAAATAAAGAATTTTCATTAAGTAAAACTATCAATATGTCTGTTTGAATTGATTGAAGATATCAAATATCAATGTCATTTTTCCAGATATGTCAAATAAAATGAAAACAATTTTCTAAATATGAAAAAATAAATCTTTTTTTCTTGAAATTAAATTATACAAATATTAAACAATAATTGTATCTGATGCAATCTGTAAGGCACGCGTACTAAATGTCGTGCAAACCGACATAAGAGGTGAAAATAAGCTACACACAATATTGTGTGTAAGTTATCCTTGTATGTATAAACCAATAGAATTTCTTTCCATGTTTTACTGTCATCTGTCCAGAAATTGTTATACTTCGACATATGTTGACATAAACGAGCATTGCTTGATTTTTTAGTTTAGTTACAAGATATATTTGAAAATTCAATGGCATCTGAGGATAAGCTAGAAGCTCAGATTCAATAATATAT